GAAGCAAAGCTATTGCATTCATATTTCATGATTTGACTTCAACTTGAAGATTGCAAGTGACATATCAGTTACCACTTCTGTAGAAGGCTTAACTATTCTTTTAAAGAAAGGTGGAGTTCGATTTGTTATCTAGTTAGTAACAGCTGAGCAGTACCATAAGCTGTGGTAGGTTGAAGCAGCTAATCTGGTATGCCCAGAGTATATGCAAACTGAGATCATGAGCTGGTATGTGTGTCCCAGCAGCCAAATTAACTTGTGTACCATATATACAAGTCATGTCTGGAAAAGCTCCAGACTTAGACAAGTTCTGATGATGCTAGATACTGGCATTTCTTGCTATCAATGCTGGTTTGCATGGAATGTTAATTAATGTTGTGCAAACCTGGCAAATATGTGAACCCAACACAACAACCCTCCAAGGCTTAACTGGTAGGGCCTGCCATGAATGGCGTTTTTGTTTGGTTGTGTAAACCCAGGCAGCAGGGATTGCCTTGCCTTGTGTTTATTTGTCCCCTGGGCTCACACAGCATAGTGCCTGCAGATGTCCTGCTTCCTGTATGAAAATGACACCCACGAGTGACATCCATCATGACATGTTAGCCCATAGGGTGAATTAGGACATGGTGGCCTGCTGTGGTAATAGGCCTGTTCTCTTGTCACAACCTGGAATTCATCAACCAGGGGATGAAATGAACCATGAGATAGCCTGATCATATGAACCAGGCCACCCTATGGAATATTGAACAAAGGCATAAGCTTTCTGTCTCAGTCTCTGATTCTTTGTTCTAAAGGTGTACATAAATTTACATTGCTCTCAGCCTTTGTACCAGTGCACAAAATGGGAGGTGCCAAGGGGCTATCCTTTGATCCATGTTGCTCAAAAAGGGACATGTCCTGATGTCATTCAGAACTGGCACCAGCACCGATTACTCACGGACCTAGTTGCTTATATACAAAATGTGAAGATTTGAGAACGCTTGGGAGCTGGTACAAACTAGAGGCTATGCTAATGAGGTTTTGGGCCTCTCATGAGGAAGAGGTAAGCTGGGCTGAAAAGGGCAATCACTTTGTGGGGCAGGATTGTGGGGAGGGTACCTGCTGGTGAAGATACTGACTAGCTCCCAGCAATTTTACTGTATAATTCTACAGGCAAACTAACTAAATGTCAGATTCCTCTTGCTGGTTCCTGGGAGAACATACTTAACTAGAGGGAGGAAACTGATGTAATCCAAGTTGCTTTAAGGGAATCTTTACCTGGTGAGGATGCTGTTTGGATATAGGCTAAAGAGAGTCCTTTGCTGCTGAGTTCCCCAGTGGAACCTGTCCAATATAGCTCACAATAAACATAAATGCCAAAAATAAAGTATCCTATTTAGGCTGCTAAAAAATCAGTATTTTAATTATGTCTAAATTAAATAAAATATTAAGTTTGAATTCACTGGTATCTGCAATGATCTAATGCAAGAACAACCAAGAGCAATACTAACTAAGCCTTTCTGTGGGTGCTGCTCTTGCCACATGCTCAGTAACTTCTTCTCACCAGGCTGGATGGTTCACAGATGGCTCCCTGTCATTCTCCCAAAGGAGGCAGGAGGAGAGGAAGTTGAATGGTAGCCTTCCCCCAACGAGCAAGGTGGGCTGGCTGCCTGCCAGCTAAATCTCTAACTTCCAGCAAATAGTAATACGAGCTAAATTTCTGGATCTTCTCTTTATACTGTCACATCCTCAGGTCTTTTCTAGTTTTAAACTGTTATGGCACTAATTCTGTTTGCGAACTGGGACAAAAACTAGAAGAAATAAGAGCCTGGACACATGTGCCTATAAGCCCTGTTGGGTTCTGTTGAGACATTTCCAAGTATGTACAGAGTTGTGATGAATACCACTTTCAAAAGGTCAGTTCTAAATTGGGCAGTACAGTAGACAGTGGCCTCTGGTTTGTTCTTAGCTTAAACTCTGGATTGTTCAACCCAGAATTTGGGTTTGGATCTCACAGTAACAACCCAGGAACAAAGTGTTGATTGAAAGTGGAAAGCAAATTTAAAGTGCTTGCTTCTGGTTTTTTGGCAATAATTCCTGGGTTTAAAAGCTTAGAAAAAGTTACTACATGTGTATTTTGTCATGGACAGAAATTGCAACTATGAACTGGGACTAGCTGAATAGTAGCAAAAAGGTCCTAGTAAGGGCTCCTGGGAATATTTTACTCCCCGTTTGACCCTCAGAATAGCTATTGGTTGAAATTTAATGCATCATTATAAATAAAAATGTTGCTATCAGCACATGGATATGGTGCTTCAGGCCAAACTGACATAGGAACTCAAAACAATTGTAACAGCTTCTAAATGTAGACTAGCTAAAGGTCACTCACTCTGATTGAGGCAGGTGAAGGCAAATGACCGGGCCATGTCCTTCAAGTGGGCAGGCAGAACTGCAGCGCTAAGGCCCTATGGAACACACATCATTCGATGTGCAGCTAATTGCCCAAGTCACATCTTGTGTTTAGCAAAGACACAGGTCACTCCTCAGCTAAGATGACATTGCTGCCACACCAGTGCAGGGTGCAGTTACTCCTTGGGTGGACGCCTGGGCTTGAACTGGACACCTTTGACATGACAAATGTGTGCTATAACATTGAGCGAGCAGCCTCCTCTTGCTTGGTGTGTGCTATATCTTTCTTTAATAAATTTCTGAATTACCTGTTTACCCAAGATGACTTGAAGTAAAATCATATGAGCAATCAAATGAAACAGTTGCAAGAAAATCAAAAGTTGACAAAATTGCAATGAAGTAAGGGAATCTTCTGGAAACAAATGCCAGTTTAATAGTTTTAAAAGTCTGTAAAAGCAAAATTCTTACCAGTTGTCTAAATCCCAGCAGCAAGGAGAAGGGATAGCCTAGCCTGCAGGTAAAGGAGTTCCACAGTCAAGATGCTGCTATGCAGGATTGCCCTATCTTTGGGTGCTGAAGTGCTTTCAGCTGGTCAGCCAAATTCCCTTTCAGAAAAGACATGTGGAAGCCGTACTCCTGTGGTGGGTGGGGCTTAAGGGAAAGGGGATTTTGAATTTTGGCGTTTGAAAATGGCAGGCAAACATTAAAGCAGGGGAAACACTAAACCATTGGTAGTTGGGGCAGGCATAGAATCAGAGAATGTAGGTGTGGCCATCTAAAGAAACCAAGGGATAGTTTAGAACCAAGAGGGCTGGAGGTCGGACACAGCATCGTACAGGTAGGTTCTACAGAGGTTTGCATGAGAGGAAGTGATATAAAGCTCCTTTATAGAACTTGCTGGATTCTTGATGCTAGAAAAGAACAATATACACCATAACAGATCATTAATGAGCACTTAGCTAATCTGTCTTCAACCTTCTAGGCTTCACTCAAGTACCTGAAGGAGCATCTTGAACAATGGATAATGCCAGGAAAGCAATATTTAACATGGTAAGGATTATTAAAGTGCTTGGTCATATTTGTGGAAATTGAAATGATCGATAAGAAAAATTAGAATGTACCCATTGCTTCTGTCTTTATACATAGATAAAACAATATTGTATAATCAACCCTGTACTCTGTAACCAAGATTAAAATGAGCAGTCCCCATGTTCAGGCCTCATGGTCATAATATGACTTGTCATTTGACACCCATTAAGGAACCCCCAAAGCTCATTCATCTCCAGAACCTTTACTTATAGAAGGAATTTAAGTCTCCATTTTATTTCTGTTACGGTTCTGAAATCAAGTTAAGACAAGACTAGAAGCAAAGCTGCCTTCACACTCCCAGAGGAAACGTTTTTGCCTCCTGCACATCTAATGGAGAAGTGCAGCAGGGTGGTGGAATGGAGCTTCTGTGCCTGCCATAAGCAAAACCCTCTTTTGACAGCCAGCAGAGAAGCAGGATTCACCATGCACCTCCAGCAAGCCTTCTGCACCTCTGTGCTGGCTGGAGAGGGAAGAGCATTACCAGGGAAGCCTCTGCTGCCATTTCCCTGCCTGCCTGGGTGGGATCTCTGGTTTTCTAAGGGGACCTGACAAGTCATCCTCAAGTCTGCTTTGTGTCAAAAAGAGCTGTAAATATCTGCAAACCAGGGTTGCAGATGCCCTTAAATGGCTGGAGGAGCTCCTCCCAGATTGAGTGTCTGTGCCCTTCCATATTACTCCTCGCTCCTTGGAAGCATGCAGGTTAACCACGACTGCTTTATGAATGTTCGTTCTTAGTGAAGAAATGTTGCTTCTATAAACCACACATGTCAAGCTCTGAGGGACTGATAAGGCCGAGCTCAGCCAAGCCCTTTTGGCTCTGGCCTCTTGGCAGAGCAGCAGAGGCACAGGCTGGGAGCAAGGGCTGAGTGGCCAGGGGACTGGCGAAGTCAAGGGAGGGGCTGGGCAGGGGAGCAGAGGGCCAGGAGCAGCAGCGGAGAGGAAGGGGGCAGAGCCAGAGAGGCTAGAGGGGCCAGGAGGGAGCAGAGGGGTGGGGCCACCGGCCTGAGGGACTGATAAGGCCGCGCTCGGCCACTCCCTGCCCTTTTGGCTCTGGCCTCTTGGCAGAGCAGCAGAGGCACAGGCTGGGAGAGAGTGCTGAGTGGCCAGGGGTAATAAGCAGGAAGAGCTTGAAGCTCTCCTTGGAATAGGAGGGTATGGTGGGAATCACAGAAACTTGGTGGGATGAAAGGCGAGTCTGGAATGTGAACATAGAGGGGTATCACCTTCTGAGAAAGGACAGGAAGGGAAAGAGGGGTGGGGGCGTGTCTTTATACGTCAGGAAAGGGACAGGATGCAGTGAGATAGAATGCAGCACAGATGGGGATTCGGCAGAGGCAGTCTGGGTGAAACTTAGGGGTCTTGACAGGGAAAGAGACCTGTCAGTGGGGGCATGTTATCGCCCTCCTGGTAAACCTTAAGACCCTGGATGATGTCCTGACAGGCCAGATTCTAAGGATATCTTGGGGGAGAGACACAGTAATTATGGGAGATTTCAGTCTCCCAGATATTAGTTGGGAGACTCACTCGGCAGTGACAGCCAGGTCACGTCACTTCCTAGAAGCTATAGAGGGAGGGTTTTTCACACAGAGGGTCCGAGAGGCGGCGAGGGGGGGAAACATCCTTGACTTGGTCTTGACCAATAGGGAGGAGCTGATAGATGAAGTACAGATTAGGGGAGCTCTGGATGCGAGTGATCACTCCATCCTTTGCTTTGAGATCAGGGGACTGGGGACGTGCAGCAGGTCGAGCACTAGAAGCTGGGACTTCAAGAGGGCCAACTTTGGCCAACTGAAGGCCAGACTAGGGAAAGTCTCCTGGGACAGGTTACTGGAAGGTAAGCGAGTTGAGGAGTGGATGGCACTCAAAAGGGAGGTTTTGGAGGCGCAAGCCTTGACGATACCTCTAGTCAGTAAGGTGGGGAGGCGGAGGAGAGTGCCGCCATGGATGCAAAGGGAGGTGGTTAGAGGGATTAGACGAAAGAGGAACCTCTGTAGGAAATGGGTACTGGGGGAAATAGACCAAAGGGTATACCGGGAGGAGGAGGCCTGTTGCAGAAGGATTCTTCGCAAGGCTAAGGCTGATGACGAGCTGAGACTTGCCAAGAATATCAAGAGCAACCAAAAGGGCTTCTTTCAGCATGTAAATAGGAAGAGGAAGGGGAGACAAGTGGTGGGACCACTAAATAAGAAGGAGATCCAGTGACTGACATGAGGGAACAGGCACAGATGCTAAATGACTCTTTTGCCTCTGTGTTCTCCCCAAAGCAGGACGAGGGATATCCGCATAGGAGATTAGATGAGGCCGGGGACTTAGGGGCACAGATTAGAGTCACCCCTCTTGAAGTCGAGGGGCTCCTCAGGGCATTGGACATTACAAAGGCGCCAGACCCTGACGGGTTACACCCGAGAGTACTTAGAGAGTTGGCAGGGGTTCTCTCATGC